GGAAGCAAGCTAGACAGACAGAGGCAAGAAGGGTCCCACAGACGGACAGAGGCAGCACCATGAATGACAGGAGTCTGGTCTCAATGCATAGAGGCACGCCGAAGTATAACCACACGCGTAATCATGCGCACGCAAAAGAAAAGACATGGCGGCGTGCGACCTCACGTGATAGGCTACCTCAGACACAGAGACCATCCAAATGACAAGACATGACAGACCGCCTCCGCGCACACCACACAGAGCACATCATGATCACGGTGCCAGTGCAACAAGCGAACCATGCAATGAAGCAGATGCCCTCCCATCCCTACGCAAGCATCATTGCAGCTTCACCGCGGCAACACCAGCGGTTCAGCACACTCTGACGAACGGGGACGGGGGGGAAGCCGCATGTCCCAGGCAGGAGCAAGTGCAGTTCTCGTCACGTCGGTCCGCTGAGACGGCGTCGTCATGCAGATCTTCACGATGAAGACCCAATTGAGGCTCGGGGGGATGTGGGAGAGCGTGCCGGGGGGCGAGAAGGACGCCAGAGAAAGAGCCAATAAGGCTGAGCGATATGATGAGCTGCGGCGGGCAGCATGACGAGGAAAGGTCGGAGACGCCAACCACAGCCAAATGGGCAGTGCCACGGACGAGGACCGGACGACAGGAGTCTGGTCTCAATGCATAGAGGCACGCCGAAGTATAACCACACGCGTAATCATGCGCACGCAAAAGAAAAGACATGGCGGCGTGCGACCTCACGTGATAGGCTACCTCAGACACAGAGACCATCCAAATGACAAGACATGACAGACCGCCTCCGCGCACACCACACAGAGCACATCATGATCACGGTGCCAGTGCAACAAGCGAACCATGCAATGAAGCAGATGCCCTCCCATCCCTACGCAAGCATCATTGCAGCTTCACCGCGGCAACACCAGCGGTTCAGCACACTCTGACGAACGGGGACGGGGGGGAAGCCGCATGTCCCAGGCAGGAGCAAGTGCAGTTCTCGTCACGTCGGTCCGCTGAGACGGCGTCGTCATGCAGATCTTCACGATGAAGACCCAATTGAGGCTCGGGGGGATGTGGGAGAGCGTGCCGGGGGGCGAGAAGGACGCCAGAGAAAGAGCCAATAAGGCTGAGCGATATGATGAGCTGCGGCGGGCAGCATGACGAGGAAAGGTCGGAGACGCCAACCACAGCCAAATGGGCAGTGCCACGGACGAGGACCGGACGAGGACCAACATGACCCCCGGAGGGAGGGGAAGCCGATGGCATCCTCAGCCAAAAGAAAACAAGGCTGAGGATGCCTCGAGATCTGCCTTGGGATCTGCGAGCTCGGGTTCGTGAGGAGGCGCTTGACAGAATAAGGGTGTGGCCTTAATCTGTCAGTTTCACAACGGCTACCCTAATCCTGCTCAATTCTAGAACACGGGAGAGATGCTGACATCTCCCTCCCTTCATCAGCGCAGCGGTATATCATCAACGATGAGGCGAAATGCTCTTCAGTGTCATGTTTCTTCTCGTGTGTTAACTGTCCGTGTGTCATTTCATGCCACCCTGTAGCACTGGGCCAGGCAGGGAGACAAACACGGGAAGATCCAGGCACACGGCCTGCAGCAGCGGTCACGCCCTAATAGGCACACGGCCTACCTTGACACCGGCTCACGGCCGGAAAAGGTAACTCCTCAGGCCCACGGCCAATCGAAACAAGCGCACGGCCTATCGCAAAAAACTGTTCTCCAGCAACCACACTCGACACCGGCACACGGCCGGCCGGGGTGTCCACCGGGCGCAAACAGGCCCGCGGCCTGGTAGCGACGTCTTCAGACACACGCGGCACGCTTGCACTGGCACAGTGGCACACGGCCAGTCACGAAAGCTTTAGATAGTCCCTGAACGCCGCACGGACCACCAGGTCTTTCGAGAGCCGAGGCAGGCTCCCACTGAGGTGCTTTGCACTGGGACTCGAACAAGGAAGGAGGGAGGCGAAAAAGGTATCGCTAGGTCCGTCACGACGCCGAGAGAGGAGGACGTGTTGTTATGGGTCGGGCTTGGGTTGTTGGGTGGTTTGGTAGGGCATGTGATAGTCGCTTGTGTGATTGCGTTTGATGGGCTGTTCGGTTTATATCAGAGTGCTGCTATCATCCATGCCGTATAGTGCGCATGTGTTTCTGCGATTGCTTGTGTCTTTGCGTGTGCAAATCCATACCGACTCTAGATCAGACGTGCTGGTCGCCCATGCTTCCGTGTAAACGATTCTATCGGTAAGAAAGGAGGAAACCTCTCTGAAGACTGGGGGCTGGCCCTAACCGTTGTGTTATCATATTTATTTGTCGGGTGAATGAAACGACTGGAACTCCAAGCGAGTGTGTGGGCGCTGTTTGCGCTGAAAAACGTTGCCCAGCAAAGCGCGGTTGTCCCCGTAGACGGACCCCGTGAGCGCCGAAGCAGCGATTGCGATCCCTTCATCGACGCAGCGCGGCTTCAGACCGATGACGTTCGCTGCCTTTGCCCCGGCCTCGGAGGATCTTGTTATGGGCACTGCGGGCGTAATTTCGATGCTGCAGAAGTAGCCAGTGTTGAGCCCTTCAGATATGGGCGATTTGAGACACGCTTGTTCCCAAACACCCGCGCCAATGGCACCGTGGTTACCTTCTTCCTTTACAAGAACGAGAGCGATAAAATTCGCGGGGCGTCGTGGAAGGAGATCGACTTTGAGGTTCACGGCATGGGGAACCACAGCGAGGAGCCGATCCAGACCAACATTATAACCGGCACCATGGAAGACCGCAGCAGTTCCGAGATGTTCTTCCCCGCGCCTGGTCGCTCAAGAGACGTGGAAACGCAGACGAAAGCAGTAAAGACAGGGTTCCATCACTTCGCCATCGAATGGACACCGGACCATGTCGCTTGGTTTTTTGACGGGCAGCGCATCCGTCACGAAGTCTCTTGCGAAGCTCAGGGCGTGACAGGGGCGCTTTGCAGTCCTCAAGTGGCGCAGCTCAACGAGGCGATGAATCTTCGGATGTCCGTATGGCCACTCAATCCGCTGCTGCCGTGGGCCGAGCACTGGGCCGGAATATTCGATGCAAAACACACCAGGCTGCCGCTCACCGTGTATTACGACTACGTGAAAGTGTATGACTATGATCCACTTTCCGAGGGTAGGCGAAGAATAGAGCAACTGTTTGTGTGACTTGCTGTGCTGTCTATCTACCTCAGGTTTCATTCTCAGATGGACTGACGCCTTCAGGAGCTTCAACACGTCCCGATGGGAGACCAGCATGCACACATTTCTCGCCAATGAGGCCCACTTCCGCCCCGACAAGGCCGCCATCGCTCCAACACATGCCATGGATGCGTGTGATTATCTTGCTCTTTCCATTGCCCGTACCGGGACGAACATCACTGTCTCGACCCCTTCCGGCAAATGCCGGATTCAAGGTTGAATCTTGTGGTTTTAGAGCGGGTGGCTGATAGAGCGGAAAAGGCGAACGAAAGAAAACAGGTTGGTTGTCGCGTTATGCTCTTCCCTTCGGAATCGCCTTGTATGTCACAGCTGCAATGATGATCTGCGGTTGAAAATTGACTATTCACATTGTAGCGCTCAAACAGGTTCGGGCGACTGTCACTGCATTCTCGATGTAGCGAGTCTGCATTTTTCGTAGGCACTTCATGTGACAGGTAATGTTCCTGCTTTTAGTCGGCAATATTCAGTTTGGGACCCGTGAGAAATCGGCTTTCCTTTGAGGCGGTGAATTTGCAATGTTTTTTGGCTCCCAGCTCACTCCATTGGTTGTTTAATGAAACCGGCGACGAACTTCGTCAAAGCATCAGCTCGTATCAAGCAAGCAAAGCGGAACAAGACATGCCAAGACAATGGACAACGCTCGTTGACTGCGAAACATGTCGCACGAGGGGAAATCAAAGCATTGACCGCATGCAGCCCACCCATTCGCGTGTCTCTCCAGCTAGAGCCGGTCGGCAAAAACGAAGTCAGGCCGAGTGGTCAGCTCCCTGAAGGCAGGGAGGAAATCTGGCAAGAGACGCTCCTCCTCGTCTTCGGTGAGGGGACGAGAGACACGCTCGTCGAAGATTTGAACGAGGATGGGAGCGGGCGAGACGTCCAGGAAGAGGGGGCGATGACAGTCACGGCAGTCGGGGACGGCGAACCAGAAGGTAGGACGACCGCTGCGGTTGATCCGGGCCCCGTACGTCACCGACCGCTTGAAGCCGTCACACACCGCGGCACAGAGGGAGAAGCCCTGCAGCTGGGCTGAAACTGTCTTGTCGGGCTCTTTACATCTACGCTCGCAGCCGTTTCGTTTGCCATCTCCTCGATAAGCTGAGCCCGCATTGCCTGTAGCTCTTGTTGTGTCCGGATGAGCCCCCTGCCCATGGCAGCCTTGATCTGTGGTGGGAATGCCACCTTTCGTCTCCGGATGCACCGAATACCATCAGCCGCAACGGGACTGAGGTGTCGCCCATAAGCTCTCCGCTGACGCTGCCCCTCTTTCCCTTGAGCGCATCAATCTTCTTCCTCAGGGGGGCAGCGAGGCGCATTTCTCCGTCTGGTGCTGTGAGTGCTTGATGTGCAACTCCCGGTCCTCGGTAGGTGGCTGCCTCTTCGTCAAGCCAGTCAGCGTGCTCTCTTTGGTCGACCTGCCGATACGCAAGGTCCACGATGGACTGTGCCCTTGAGACACTGCCATCGCGAGTAATGGAGATGCCTTCCATTGTGGCGTATCTGAGCCCCTCAGGGGAGTCGCGAACTTCATAGATTGGCAGCAGAGGGTCCTCTCCCGCCTCTCCGTGAGCCCTCAGCTTCCACTTTTTGGTGGCGAAACCGACGAAGGGATGACGAAGGACTGCAATGTCAGAGTCGCCACGCACCACATCCATAAGAAAGAAGGCCCCAGCGAGCGGGAAAAGAAGAACGGCGATTGCGACATGATGGATATACCCACCCTCCCTTGTCAATCATCCAGGGACAAAGATGACTGACAAAAACCGTTGAAGCGACGAACTCCGTTGAAGCCGCAAACACTGACAAAGAGACAGAGCCAAAGGCACCAACAGGGACGACAGCACGAAGCTCCGTACGACGAGTGTGTGAAGTGACGAGTCATATGGCCAGGGGTGAAGTGGGTCGTTCGTGCTCGTCTGTTTCGCACCTCGACAAGGGAAGTGGCCCTCGGAGACAGACCGGGCAAGTGCCACAGTCCATGGAGTTTCCTCTCAACATCAAATCTGACCGAAATATATATGATTTGAGGTCTAAAAGTGGGTCTGGCAGCTGAACTATAATGCTTATGCGGTTCTTTGGGGGACCAAGCTTCCATTAGACACCGATACATTGTCGCTCGTCAGGAGCAGTACTCTCTGAGAGGTCATGTCTCGTGGCAGTACCTTCCTGGTGGTGGTCACTTTTGAGCTCTAGTGCTCTAGCCCGGTTTTTCAACCCTTCCTTTTGTCGCTAGGGATGGTCATTGGCTAATGGAATTCTCCGCCTGCAGTCATCAGCCATATTCGCAGACCAGCCAGCTTCACGTATTGCATTGTAAATGCGTCCATGATCCACTCCTGTGCGCTCCTCTGTGTGTCTATGTCCTTTTTTTTTTGGATGAGCCAGATGGTGTCCCCAACGACCCCTTCGTCCGCACGGACCTGTTCGTGTCGAGGTTTTGGCCAAGCGGCCGCGAGCTGTCGATCGATTTCTGCGTGACCGACGCTGACGCTCGCTGCAACCAGGGCAAGACCACCGGCGCGATCACCCGCGAGAGGGAGAAGCTCAAGAGGGACCACCACCTTGACGTGTGTCGGCTCAACCGCATGGACTTCACGGCATTCATCGTGACGTGTGAGGGCGTGTACGGGAGGGGAGGCCGATCGCTTCATTCGCCGCTTGGCCGAGCTCATCAACAAGAGGGGCGATGGGACAGATATGGCACTGGCCGGGTCGAACAATGGATTCGGGCGCGGCTGTCAGTGTGCCTGGCTCGTTCGGTGTCTGCGTGTCTGCGGCGGCCCAGGAGGAAGGGCCGGTGGCGCTGGCTATATCAGAGGGGGCGTTGGGGTGATGGGGCTGGGATGTTCGTGCCTGGGGAGCCTCTCATTTTCTGAGGGTGCTCCCCTGTGAGTACCCGTGTGGTGTTAGTGTGTGTTGATTGGCCTGGATGCGCGCGCCGTGTGGTTGGCTGTCTGTCTGTCTGTCAGTCTGCTCGTCTGTCCATTGCATTCACGTGTGCTTTTCATGAGCATCATTTGTCCATTTGAGTGTCTGGAGCTTGTCATTATTACATCACGATCGACTGTTCATTTCTTTCCGTGCCGTGGACCAACGCGTGTGTGGCCCCCGGCGCATCGTTACACATCAAATCACGTGTCTATGTCTTTCGCATCGGTCTGCAGCGCACTCACAAGAGATGAAACACATTTCCCCCACTCAGGATACACGTACGGACTACACGGGACGAATGTGATATTCAGGTGATCTGTCAGTTGGTTTTGCCCCAGACACGAATGGCTGAATATCACATTGTGGCTGTCGCTCCTGCTCACGTGTGGCTGTCGCTCCTCGGGGTTTGTTTCCTTTTTCCACGTCACTGCTCTCATTTGGTGGCTCCTTCTCCCACTGGTAGAACTAAGGGAAGTTGCTCAAGGACGCTGAGATTGTCGTCCCAGTGATACTCGTTTTCTTCACTCTCTTTATGCGTGTAGTTCGGCGAGACTTTTGAGTTTAGTTGTGTATCGGCTAACGCACACCAAGCACAAGGAGCCTTTACGGAACACGCAAGAGTCTTTTGCACGCGAAGCAGTGATCGCCCTAACGCTGATTGGGCGGATCTATGGATCATCTTAGGCCACGGGCCTACATGTGCTTCCTGTACAGGCGCCTCTGTCCAGCTGTGAGCGTATACATTCCGCAACACCCCTCTTCGCACACGGCTCTAGGAATCACGGAGCTCTAGCCAAACCCTGATCCCCAAACCCAGAGGTTGGTCATGGGTGTGCTTCTCCATGTTTTCCGATGTTTGTGTGTGTTGGTCAGGCGGAGGACGGCAGCCGAGCCAACCCACCAATGAACGGTTCCATCTGGAAGCAGGAGCGGTGTACTCTCCCAACCGATGGGTCAGTCACACACTACACAGCACTGTGGGACTCACTGCATCCCTAGTCCACCTTGCGCCTCTTTCTCCCATCACTCTTTGATGTCCGACGCTTTCTCTTCTGCCTCTCAGGCTCTGTCGTCAGCCCATCGCTGCTGAGAGTGATGGCGTCGGCTCCTCTCGTCACCGTGCACGTCAGCTTTGCGTGCTGTGAGGCAGGGAGCGACTTCGTCAGGAGATCAGCAACATTCTCCTTCGACGGCACGTACTCGGGCCTTATCTTCCCGTCCTGGTAAGTGCTGCGCACATGATGGTACTTGATAGCAACATGCCTCCTCTTCTTTGAGGCCTGATGGTTCTTGATGTTCTGTACGCAACCATCGTTGTCGCCATACAGGACCGTGGGTGGCACCTTGAAGCCCAGCCCCTCCATCAGTTGCATCAAGTACAGCAGCTCACGAGTGCAGTCACTTGCAGCGATGTACTCTGACTCTGTGCTACTCAGGGCCACAATCGACTGCGTTCTGCTCGACCACGCGATCGGGCAGCCATCCATCTGGATGACGAAGCCGCCGGTGCTCTTGGCGTTCTCCTGGTCGGCCCATGACACATCCGCATAGGCGACAAGCGCCGCGGTGTTCTCGTCATCTTCGTGGCCAGGTATGTGCCCAAGAGTAGGTCGGCCTTCATCCCAATGGTTGCCGCACTCATGGCATATGTGTATGCGGTGTGGTTTGTGCAGATCGATCCTCCTCGTCCCGGCCATGATGATGTGCTTGCCCTCTTGTGGCTCCTCGTGACGGACACCACAATGGGGGCAGTTCAACACATCGTCAGTGGCCTTTCGCTTGAAGACCAATCCTCGCCCAGCGGTCCCCTTCAGGTACCGAAGCACGCGGCACGCATATTTGAAGTGAGTCTTGCCCCAGCACGAAAAGAACTTGGTCAGTTCCTTGCACGCATAGGCAATGTCTGGTCTCACTGTGATTGCGCTGTACAGCAGGCTTCCAACCAGCTCTCTGTACGGCAACTCACGTGCGGCCTCTGCCTCTGCCTCTGCTCGAGGGCCCATTTCTGAGCTCAAAGGCACACCTGGTGGCAATGGCGTCATGGCTGGGTTGGCTCGCTCCATTCGGAACTTGGTGAGCAGGCTAGAGATGTACTTCTCTTGCGAGAGTGTCATCTCTCCCTTCTCTTTGTCGTATTTGACCTTGATGCCTACGAAGGTGTCGACTTCGCCGAGATCCTTGATGGCAAATCGTTGGCCGATTTCCTCCAAGAACCAATCGAGGTCAGCATCACACCCAGCATAGACAATGTCATCGACAACCACACCCAGCCACAGCTGTCGTGTCTTGTGTGTGAAGATGCAGGGATCAGCGTCGAGTGGCTCGCTGATTCCATGCTCTCGGCGCCTCCCTCAGCCCATACAGGGCCTTCCGCAGTCGAATGACATGTCCAGGCTTCTCGTATCCTTCTGGGCACTCCATGTACACAGGAGTGTCCAGTGGCGCGTTGAGGAAAGCGGTGTTCACGTCCAGCTGACGCATCGACCACCCTTTCTTCAATACAGCCGCCATAAAGGTACGGACAGCCTGTCCAGACATCGTAGGTGCATACGTCTCTTCGTCAGGTCTCAGCCGCTGTTGGAAGCCTTTGGCGACCAACCGCGCTTTCTTCCTGTCGGGCTTCTGTTTGAAGACCCACTTGGCCTGGATCACTCGTCCATCCATCAGACGATCCACCAGAAGGTTCATCACCTTCCTGTCCGACACCCACAGCCTTCGATACCACCTCTACCAAGGCCTCACGCACGAGAGCCGCCTCAGGGCTACGTATTTGACACACTCCAAGTCCACGCGTGCATGCGCAGGTATGCGCACAGAGACATCCATTGTATCAGGCACATCGTCTGCATCGGGCTGAGCTAGGCGCTGCAGGTCGATTCTCGCCCCGGCGGCCTCTTCTATTCCTCCGTGTGCCGTACAAAAGAAGCCGGAGGTGACGACGGTGTTGTAGAATTGAGGAAGGTCCCAGTGTTGCGGGATGGGGTGAACCATCCGATGATCAAGCCGACGAACATGAAGCTGACGGTCACAAGAAACATCACCACTGCGACGCAGACGTGGAAGATTGAGCCGATGACAGACAGTGCTACGATTCTCATGTCTTGAACCAGACACACAGAGATACATGGCGGGTCAGTCAGCACTCGTAATTGCTCCTTCCGGCGTGTGGTGTTCAGTCAGCTCACCCTCGGTGTACGACAAGCAAATGCTGCAGGCAGACCATGGACACGCGGAATCCGTGCATGTGTCTCCGTGAAGGGCACGAGCATTTATGGCAGTCACTTGCAGCAGACGGACATGATGAGGAGTACGACGCCCGAGGCGAGGAATTCAGAGGAGAATTTCGAATCCATGACGTATCCGAACTCACTTGGCACGAGCCATTCGTCTGACTTCAACGCTGCATCGCAACAAGCACGTTTCTGGATGCAGAGCAATGTGAGAGGAGCTGCATACCGACGCATAAGAATACGAGAGGGACGATATCGAATGTGGCAATGGCAAGGTTCCACGGCCTCATGGTGAGGGAAGGACGGCACTGCAAGGGGCTTGGGAACTCGGAGATTGTGTTGAGGTTGCTGTGTGCCGAACACACACCGTGGTCAGAAGGATCAATCTCTGCCGGAGAGCCTTCAAGCAAGGCACGCAATGCACGAGTCCATCAATAGGGCATAGCCAGCCCACACACGTACGAGAGCTGCAACGCTCACCGAGAGAAGCATGAAATAGTGTGACAGGTCTGCTAGCAAGGCGAGCAAGAAACCCTGCTATCAAAACCCAACACCCCTTCTCACCTCACGGCGAAGCTGAGAGGTGGACAATCATGCAGCAGGGGCATCACTCAACAGCATAGAAGTGAAGCGCTTGTGTTTTGCACTGTCAAGACTCTTAGTAAGTCAGCCGGATTCACACTACCTGGTACGTACGCAAGGTCATACAGGCCTGCCTCATACTCAAGAGCAGACGTCCAAAAGTCGCGGTCAATGTGCTTGGTGCGCCGTATGGCTTTCAAATCGCCACGCAACTTCTTCAACGCAATGTCATTGTCACTGTAGATAGTACTGCACAAGATCCGTTTCGACGACCTCTTCAACTCCCTCCCGCCCAACAGCAGAGCCCGGTGTCGACTGTTGAGTTGTCGAGAGCCCTCTCATCCGGCTGGCTGTCTGCTATCCCCTACAACGACCACAAGACGCTGAACGACTTCCAGTACCGTCTC